GGGAAATGTGTCGAATATACAGAGAATATGCAAAAAATATGCATTTTACCTAGGAAAAATGCATATTTTCACCCCATAGCAAATTCTGAAAAATGCATATTGCAAAATGCATATTTTTTGAGTATGTTTTACAGCCTCTGCTCAAAATGCATATTACTTTTGGGTCCGCCACATGTCACTGGTGTTGGATTCAATCATGGAGTCAAGGGCCTTGGGGCCTTGGGTTTGCTGGAACTGGAGCAAATGACGATTGAAGAAAGATGATGTACATGTATTTAAAAAAAATAGTGTAAATAACAGTAAATTCAGACCATGCAATGTAGTGACTACTGACTAGTGTCGTAGGACCACATATATATATATATGATTACATCACTTGAAAATGCAAGTAAAGCCAGCATTGCGTCTCTAGAAGCTTTCTTTGTTCATTGACTACATGGTGGTTTGGGGATAGTCGTTAGCAGATAGGACCTGATGAACAGTGACATCACAACATAGCAGAGCAAATAAAATAGAGAAACAATGTTGCACCTAGACACCTTGCTCAACATTGATGATAGCAAGACAATTAAAGAGCTGCCCTGATATGCATTTCTTAAAGGCTACCAAACTGATATGCATTTTGGGATATGCATTTTGGAATTCTGATATGCATTTTGGAGGTCTGGGTCTGTGGCCCAAAGGTATTTCATAAGAGAAAATGATGCCAAATCCCAGACGATAAGTAAAGCCTGTAGGAACTATGACTGTTGGATTGTTGGATTTATGGCTATGGCATGCTATGGCTATATCATCTTATTTTTATATTTGGATAAGGTGCCATGAACCCACATATTTGGGGGGCCTTCCTGTATTGCATTCCTGTGGCCATTGCTTGAATTCGATATTTTTGTATGGCCAAGATGCACCAATGCATGCATGCTTTAGGCAAGTATTCTCCCTGTATGATGGAATTCCATTTGAGAAGCCAGTTCTGGACTTAAGCCCAAGGGTGTCAAGAAACTAAAACCATTCAGTTTCGGTAGGCTTTGGTAGGCATCTGAAAGCGCAGGACTGTCACCTAGAGCTGCTTGGGAGACTACAAAATCATCAATAATGATGAACCCCTGGAATTGTAACCACAGTCGGCGTCAACATGACCTGTGGCAAAGTTCCATGCTTCTCAATGTCAGAAATCGCTCAAATTCAGGGGCAGATCCGCAGAGCTTGACGGGACTAGTCGATATCTATTGTTATATCTAAGAATCTATCTTATCTATCTATCTTTCTAATCTAATCTTATTTTGTCTTATCTTATCTGATCTTACCTTATCTTATCTTGTCTTATCCTATCTATCTATCTATCTGTTCTGATCTTATCTGATCTTATCTTATCTTATCTTGTCTTATCCTATCTATCTATCTATCTATCTATCTACCTAATCTATCTATCTACCTATCTACCTATCTATCTATCTACCTATCTACCTGTTTAC